AGGGTATATTTGAAATCTACACATATGACTTTTGGAAAGCCGTCTATAGAAATTTTTCCCATAACTCCTTCCGTAGGGTAGATAAATAGCATTTAATTTTGCCATTTTTAGACAAGGGTGCATTGCAATGAGTGCCACACCCAGACCCCAATACCGACAAAGCCCAAATTTTACGTGGAACGAGTTGAGATTATAGGTGACCTAAATCCATGAGATGGGTACGGGGGCCCTTACCGTCTAGGAGGAGAAGCGGTAACGGTAGCCGTCCGGCGGAGCCAACGGAGCCGGCGGAGCCGGCGGAGCCGGCGGAACGATCCGGACGGGACCGAAACCATGTGTACCGCCAGCGCTAACGCTGGTGGTACAATAAAAATTCCCAACATGTAAAGCATAGAGGGCTTTTTTGGTTCAAATGCTGCAAGATACAGTTTCTATTTTTTAATTTTCAACATCATTATTGTCAACAATATGTCCTAAAAAAGAATAATATAGAAAACTCAGAAAATTACATGAATTTCAAATGGCAAATACAAAGTCCACCTCCCAAGCTTCTTAACAGTAAAATAAAACCACTGACCACGGAATTTGACCACTGTCTACTCACCACCAGAGTCTTCCTGTCCCGAGAACTACGTCTTGTCTTCCCACTAAGAAGCTTGATCCTGAGTGGCTTGGGTTTTTTGTCTCTCGATTCCCTAGACGACGCTGTCCGCTTCCTGTCCCTGCTGTTACTGCGGCTACCACGACTGGACATGGACTCATCGCTGTCATTGTCTGATGGGACTGCGAAAAAATTGGGACAGAGACAGATGAGATGACATATTATTTTGAATAACTGTTACAGCAGAAAAGCCAACTTTTCAGAGAATCATATACTGCTTAAGAGAGATATGGCATTCATCACAGATTCAGCGAATTCTGAAACTAGGAACCATGTTACAAATGATTGTAAGGACTATAATTGTGGTCTATGTTCGGAAAAAGAAAGCTATGTCTATCTCATATTTAGTAAGCAAGCTTTGACACATTTATCAATCATACTATAATTTTTTTTAAATATTTGACAGATATCTCAAAAAATTTCCAAATCTGTATTTCAGTAAATTGAGAAAACATTGACATATATATATACAAATATCATTAAATTAATAACTTAAATTTTAACAAACTGCAAAATTAATACTTAGAATGAAATTCATAGTCTTTACAACTAAATCCTTCATTCAATTATTTCTCTACATTTGCACACTAACTCACTTCTCTTAGGTATCTTCTTGAAAGGATTTGAAGCTTGAAACTCTTTCCACTTTGCTGCTATCAGATTGGATGTCTTTGAAGATGAGATTTTGGTGTTGGCCTGAAATATAATAACTATCTTTATCAGTTTTAGCAGATTTTACAAAACAGAAAGCTTAAGCCTAAAGGATATTGTCATCCTTTGCCCAAAACTCATTATTTATTGCCTTTAAGTTACATTCTTTTGGGTAATGAATAAATCTTCAGTGTTCAGTGACTAGATTAATTAACATTTACGCATATGTCACCTTGCAGGTGACTTTATAATTGTGATTTTGGGATAAAAACTGAAAAATCAGTTTCTCTAATTTCTCCTTTACCTGAGCACCCACAATCACGGTTTCATAGCCGGTAATGACACCATTTAGTACTCCAAAATCCTTAGTTCAAAGTCTTAGTTCAGATTTTATCATAATTTATAAAGAAAAATTATGCCTGAGTTTGTTTAATATTAATCTGTAATTAGGGGCTCATACCTCCATAAAGGAGACCTGGAAGGTTTAAGTGACTGATTATTTTGTAAAACATCTCTAAAGTTTTCAGTACATACCTGGTATATCAGTGGTCGTATGTGCTGGACAAAGATGCTGTAAGTGGAGAGGTTCTGGTAGTCAGCCTCTGTATACTCCACATTGACATCATTCACACCAAACTCCTTACACAGGTCAGCAGAACTCTTGTTCTTCTGTGGAAATACAATATGGAAATTGTTCAATAAATTCAAACATTATTTTTTTAAATAATAAGTAATCTTCCTTCCCCCACAAAAAAAAATACCCATTAAACAAAAAAAATACTTGTCGATGAAAAACTTTAAATAACAGTTGGTATGCCATGCCAGAGAGTATACTTATTGTTGCATTTTTGGATATATATATATATATATATATATATATATATATATATATATATATTTTTTTTTTTTTTTTTTTTTTTTTTTTTTTTTTTTTTTTTTTTTTTTTTTTTTTTGATTGACTGATGAAATAGGTAAGGTGAATTGAGTTTAGGCACCGCCAGAAACCTGTGGAAAAGTTACAACATCCATTTTAATTAATTTCAATTAACAGCAACAAACAAACTACCTTTTTGACAGTACTTTCTTCCTTTTTTCCTTCAGCTTTTCTTTTTCCCATGACTGCACAAGGAAAACTTTCAAATAAGTAGTTGTATCAAAACTATATACAGAACAACTCCTTACATTTAGGCTTGTTCGGTTAAACTGAAAAGAAATGAAGTTGCATCATCCTTTAATATTATAGAAATGTGCTACAAACAGCTATTGACCGTCAACAAGTGCCAAATCCACAAATATTGGTCTTAAAAATTAAGGGCCAGAGTAATATGAAATTAATATTTATAAATATCATTGAAGGAATGGCACTTTTATTCTCAGAACTATCAAGTGGACAAATGAGTTGAGTTGTAATGCGAAATTATTTGGCAAACTCTAACTGACAGATGTTTGTTGTTGAAATTTACTTGGAGTGACACCTGTCAAACATCCATATGATAATCACACACACACACACACACACACACACGCACACACACACGCACACACACAGGTATGCTCAGAAAAAGTAAAGGTTCCGAATAAGCAAAAAACTGCTTTTCCATCCTTTTAAAGGTTTAACTTTATAAAGACATGCACTAATGGCTTCCATTGCCCACACATTTTATTTATCTCAATAACAATATTTGCCATTATATCTCCTTTGTTCCAATAAGGCCGCCATTTTCTTATTCTTTCATCCCCCGGTTGGGTCGACATTTGCCTGTTTATTCTTTTAAAAAATTACGGTAACAACAACGGACCCTGTCATACATAATTTTCATTTCACTATAAAATTGTAATCAAAGGGAAAATCGATTATGATTTTTATTGACATTGAAACTATATTATATAGTAGAAAACAGGTTTTTTAATTAAAGGGCAAAACAGACGTCGACCCGACCGGGGGATCGGAAAACCGTACTAGTAGAACTATCGCCCAAACCTTAAAATCATGTCTAAGTCGACCACTTTTACAATAGCACATATGCAGAAAGAAAAAAAGAAAATACTACACTGTGGCTAAATTAATTTGCGACAATAACACGATTTAAATGCATTAAAATATAGAATGACATTACCTTTATTTTCCCGGCGCGTGCACAATACACAGAGCACCTTGCAATACAAAAAGTTCGTTCTTCGAAAAATATAATGATAAGTATTTATAATTCCTTTTCTTTCGTGAGATCTCTATTTTCTTGAAAACAAGAATTTATGTCACACTCATTATGTATTTGTATATTTTATTTGATTTTGATCAATATTTTTTTAAATAAATCTAAAACGATGTAACAACATTTTACGCGTACTTGCCCAAACAATCAAGACAAGCCCACCTCGTTATAAGAGCGAGCGAGCAGCCGGCTTCTTTGATGTGTAAGTAATCGGTCCAGTTTTGCAAAATATATTGTGACATCAGATCTGTCATATTTAGCTTACTTTTCTTTTGAGTGCGGTTAACTCAAAATAGTGGTTAAATGATAAATATAAGTTTGGATGAAACTTAGACCAGAAGCAAAAGTCAGTTTAACTTTGACAGGTCAATTGAGGTTTGTTTTTGTTTTGTCACTCTTCGAGTTTGTCAAGTTTTGTCAGTCTTTTTTCATCCTTGGTTTAAAGAAACCGATCATGCTAAATGTTCTGTGACGCTGCGAATTCACATTTATTTCAGTTTCTGACTTCATTCAACCATTCTATCTGCTAGATAGCCTTCCAGGTTAGGTCTATATATCTCAAGTCCAAAGTCCAATTTTGATTCAGGGTGCAAGGGACGACTGTATACTCAGGTAAATTTTCAAGTCAGCTTCCTTTTATTATCAGTATTTTTTAACATTTACACTGCTGCAATATATTTCACTGTATTCCATTTCTTTATGTTTGATGCCAATTGCTGTTTGCAAATACTGTACATGTAGAATTAAAAGGGAACACTTTACCTGTAGTTTTACTTTAAATAGACCCATATACTGTATATAGTAAGGTGATAACTAATGTACCCAGTTGGTCACCTGCACCCTGAGTTCAAGGGATCTCAGGCATGTTGATAGTCCTGTGAAACTAATAGATATACTCTGTGGATTCTTGACTTGATTCAACAGATTGAATAAATTTTTTATATCACAACAATACTGTAGAGAGCACTTATCATAATATTATTATTATTATTATTATTATTTATGATATTTTTTTTAAAGGAACAATAGATATAGGTATTAATAATTTTCTAAGATCAGTTTGTTTTCTGAATTTGGCTAAAATCTACTAGCAAAGTATATACAAGAAAGTTATAAAATCTCCAAGCATAATGTGTACAAAAGAGAGACCAGGATTTTTATTTCATGATTTTCTTACAGATCCTTCCCCTGTGCCTATGACGCCTCCCTCCAGCCATGACCTCCCCACTGCAGATGTATGTGTCTGAGAAGGAAAGAACCTTTGATTGTGAGGACAGCCTGCCCAACCTGCCTATACCTCCTCTGGAACAGACACTGAAGAAGTATCTGGATTCCGGTGAGGGTTTCTTGGCTGCAACACTTTAGATTATTAACCTCTGTTTTTTTTTTTTTTTTTTTTTTTTTTTTTCAATTATTTATTCATTTAATGTCTTGTTAGTACATATAACAATGATCCAACAAGCGGAATATAACAGTACTACAAAATAACCAAAGAAAAGCATTTTGATACGATATTTTATTTATTGAGGTTCTAGTAATATATATCACATGACACCATATATTTAGATGTAACAAAAAATGTGCAAAGGTGACGATATACTCTTAGTTCTTAAAGTATTCTGGGTGATAACCTGAACTTGATTATAGAGTTATTAATATAATGGACAGCTGTAACTGATCCTTTTATTTCATAATTCTATAGTTACTATTGACCATTTTTACAAAAGCAAATAAGCAAAATGAAAAAGAAAATCTTCTGCTATAGTAACTGTTATATTCATTTTCAATAATAACACGGCATTTAAACATACAAACACATACCCTCACTTATCCTGTTCAGTCTTCAAAAAATATAATATTTTTTAAAATTGTTAAATCAGCTATAATTTATTTCTTTCTCCCATAGTCCGCCCACATTTGTCCCCAGAGGAGCTGAGAACCACAGAGTTCATAGTCCAGGAGTTTGGTCAGGGGGTGGGGAAAGAGCTGCACAGAAGACTTCTGGATAATGCCAAACATAAGAGGAACTGGGTAGGGCTTATGTCACTTGTGGATATATTTATTTATTTATTTATTTATTTATTTATTTATTTATCTATTTATTTATTTATTTATTTATTTATTTATTTTATTATGATAGCTAGAGTTTTAGGATGGGTTTAAGTTTCTCTAAAAGAAATGTGATGTAGCAAGTATTTTTTTTTTAATATTTACAAATTGATGCATGTACTAGTAATTATAATATGGTGCGTTGAGAGCTGAGACGCCCCTTCCCTACCCTCCTCCATTTCAAGGTAAAATCCTTAGATAATAAGTTACTGTAACTTCTTAAATAACTTATAACAGTTACTTGAAACAGTTACTTGAAATTCTAAGTAACTGTATTGCCTGTTACATGTAGGTGTTGTGTGTGCAGTAGTGACAGTTCCCTGAAGATGACCTTGTGATAAAGGTCAAGATGTCTGAGTCTCTGCATAACACCTGTCAGATCTACAAGATTGTCCAATATGAGATTTACTATATTTAATATATATTTAATATATTTGCCTAACTGTTTTGTCTTTCCTACACTATCAGTTAGAGAAGTGGTGGGAGGAGTATGCGTACCTTAGGGGCAGGTATCCCAGCTCTCCCATAGTGAACTTTGCTGGTCCGGGGCCGTACAGCTTTAAGTTTTGGCCACCTAAAGAGGGCACTCAAGTGCCAAGATGTGCCATAACCACCTACTATACACTGAAATACTGGCAGATGTTGCGAAGGTTAGTTATCGTAATTAATAATTATTTATTTATTTTTGTTATCATTATTTTCTAGTTATCTGAGAAACTTTGGGTGTCCAAATGGCTGAGATTGTATTGGTGTGTGCAAGTGTGCTCTGTTAATGTATATTGTGTACAGTGTATGTTACTGTGCATTCTAGTGTGTTTATGATTGTGGTATATTAGTGCATGCTGTCACCTTACAGACATCTATAAAATAGTTTAAAATATCTGTTTTTAAAACAATTGTTGATCTAAAAGAAAGTTTGAGTAATGGCATGTAATAAATGTACATTCACAGAGTTCAAAATACATTTAAAAATGCTTAAAATTTTCAAGAATTAAGGATCAGAATTTAGAATTATGAAAATCAAAAATGCTGGCCCGTTTACAATATGTTAAATCAATCACATGATCACTTTCAGAGAGAGACTGAGCATTGATCGTAACAGTAAAAGACAACCGCTGAGCATGAGTCAATTCCATCGTGGTTTTAGCACTTGCAAAATCCCAGGAGAAGAAGTGGACCATTTTAACTTTTATTTTAAGACAAGTGAGTTGGTTAGCAGATGTTGAATCAGTTTTGAAATTTAGAACTTTTTTTCATGACTGAAGGAGAAAATCGGTGAATAATTAATTGATAGACTAGTTAAATACCTGAAAGTTTATTAAAAATTTAACAGTTTTGTTTTCACAGTTTTCATTTCAAAAAGGTATCAACTTAAATACAACTATCATTCATGTGTACATTGTATGTGCAAAGTGCATTATAAGCAGTTCTTCATGAATCCTGCTACATATCGTAAAGAAACCCTAACACAATACCAAACCTTTTTCACAAACTAGAAAGAGAAGGAAAAACCCCAACACATTTCTTGGTGATATGCAAAGGGAGGATCTTCACTGTAGATGGCGTTGATGAGAAAGAGGAGCCCTACACCCCACCTGAGCTTGAGGCTCAACTCCAGTTGATAAGAGAGAAGTGTGACAGTGAGCCGAGGGGGCCGGGAGTGGGGGCCCTCACAGGGGCAGAGAGGACAGACTGGGCCAAGGTAAGGGCCAGCTGTGCTCTTATAGATTATTTTGATTTTAGAGTTTTTGAGTTTTAGAATTCAGATTAAGATAAGAAAAATTTTAAATTAGAATTTTAAAGATTAAATGATAGGGAGAGAGGAAAGGAAGGAAGGAGAGAGAGAGAGAGAGAGAGAGAGAGAGAGAGAGAGAGAGAGAGAGAGAGAGAGAGAAAATGGAGGGTCCCTGTTTTTGTAGAAATAGAAAAAAAAACAGAAAAATAAATAACAGAAGTAGTTTGTTTTGTTTTGGCAAAGAAGGATCATTTTTGCTTTGTTATATATTCACACTGAATTTTTTCACAGCTCCGGCAGCACCTCTTAGAGCTGAGTCCATGCAATGTCCGTAGCTTAGACATTATCCAGACCTCCATGTTTGTAGTGTCTCTAGATGATGTTCCTGCCAGTGATTTCACAGAGGTAATACAGATCTTTGTCTTGTTTAATATTCATGGAAAACATAGTTTAGATTATATACCAACTTAGATCAATATTATATAATAATTTTACTATATCTGATTGCATTAATTGTTTTTTCATAGCTTCATATAATCCTCATTATTTTGAGATTTTTTTATGTTCTTGTTTTTATTTTGAGCTCAAAATTTTTCAGAAAAATTTCACTGTCCAGTCAGCCGGTTTTTTCACATGGTATCAGGCATTACAAACAAATACAGCATTTTCAAACTTGAGATTTGTGAGCATTAATGCCCATATTAAAGATCCGAGCCACAAATTAATAACCCCAACTTAAAATTAGTTGCCACCAGCACTGACTAATCCATTCTCATGTTATGTTTTAGATGATGCAGCATAGTCTGTGTGGGGACTGCACCAACCGTTGGTATGACAAGTCTCTGTGTTTTATCACCTTCAGCAATGGAACCAGTGGATGTAACTGTGATGTAAGGAACTCAGTGCTTGTTATTGTACCACCAGTTTGTATGGGCATAAACCCTTTGGTATGCCTTATTAGCTTACCCAGCTGGTGGTACATGTGCAGGAGGCAGTATTACCTCTCTGATCCTCTCTTTTTTCCCAATTTTATCAGTGCATAGATTTGATAAAGCCTATTTTCTTTTGTCAAGAAAATAATCTAAAATTGATCAGCCTTATGTACTAGTATAACAGTTTGAATGCACATTTTAAATAAATACATGGCATTAGATACAGTACTTAACAAATGAAATCCAGGACTCTACACATTGAGTCAAAACTATTAAAATGATTATCTCAATATCTTTGAATGGAGGATTTCCCATAATCAATAAGCACTTAAAAATTATAGTTACTGTAATGATATAAAAGCAACTTTATGATCGTTACAAAATTATTCAATTAGATATGATGAAATACAGTATGATTATTCATTTCTGATTTTATGTATGAATTTGGCTACATGTGTACTAAGTAAGCGTATGGTTGTTTGCACATAATGGTTATGATTATTAGTTTCTGAAACAAAAAGATTGTGCTGCTAAACTTTAATCTCCTTTTTTTTCAGCATGCCCCATTTGATGCTATGGTGATGGTGTCCTTGACCTACTTTATTGACCTCAATGTCACAGAATGCAAGGGTAAATGGCAGGTAAGGGGCAGTGTTACAATAAACAACATGGTTGCCGTCAGTCCAGGTATTTTGACAAAAAGTTGCTGTAAGAGTTTTCTGACCTGTCAACTTTCCCGATGTTTTTAGTTGAGAGCAGACTGAACGTTAGGCTACTTCAGGATGTAAAACCTAATTCAGTAGAATAAAGCTTTATGGCCTATATTTATCAATTAGTTTACCCCTGGGGATATGTCTAATTTTTATCATTTCACTTTTTTTCGGAGGGAGAAGGGTGAATAAGGAGGCCCTTAGAAGCTAAGCACATACCCCTCCCCCACCTCTGTCTAAACTAAAACTGTACTCTAACAGTTAGATTTCACCTTGTCTTTAAAAGTATACAGTGAATGTTAAAACTACAAATAGCAAGCAAAGTCATTTCTATGGGAATTTCAGTCCTTCGTTAATTCCCTCAGTTACCAAATTGAATTTATATCATATTCCACACCAGTTCTATTTGTTTTCCTTGTCTTACTTTAAAGAAAGATTGAATGGATTGGGGCTTTGAAGCCATCATCATCTACAATTCAAACTCATTTTCTATATTCCATTTCTAACTTTTTTCTTCCAGGGATCCAAAGAAGTCAGAATTATGAAACCACCAGAAGAGTTGACATTCCTGTTGGACGGTGACATATATCATGGAATAGCAAAGGCAATAGAGACTCATGACAAGTTGGTAAGTGGTACTCAGGCCTGTCAACCCCAGCCTGCAATGTTATCAGGGGCGGATTGAGGCCTTCGGGAAGACAGTCAAATTTTCAAGTTTACATTGACAGGTTTCTAATTTTTTTTCTGTCGGAAGACGGTCAAAAATAAAGGATGGATCAACAAAGATAATTTGGAAGACGGTCAGAAATTAGCTCTGGATCCGCCCCTGATTATATGTTATTGGAATATAAAGACAATTTTAACAAGGCATGAGTGTGATAAGGCAACCTGTGCATTTGAATCTTTTGCTGCTGTCCAAGGCATTAGACCTTTATTTAGCAAAAATAAAAAAAATAAATGATTTAATCTTTAAATTACATCAGTTTTTCCTTAATTAATAAAGTATATCCACACTGAAACCATTTACAAAATAACAACTGCATATTTTAATGTGTAAAACACAGTATTATGTTCAAATTACTTATTATTAATTAATTGTTTGCTATATAAAGGTCTTAAATTAATTGCATGTATTTGAACACTATTTTTATCACTAGTATGAAGTTTTAAAATGGTGAGTAATGCACGACTGCATGTTGTTCCCGTCTTTCATTCCAGGCTAAGAATGTTGAGTGTTTTAGTCCCATCTTCACCGGCTATGGCAGGAAATATCTACGCAGCCACAAGATTTCCCCAGACACACATGTACAGCTTGCACTTCAGCTGGCTTATTACAGGATGCACAAGAAGTATGTAGTTTTATGACATGGAATGCCGTGATTGTGGGGAGATTTTGCAAATCTCAAAAGTTGTTTTGTTATATAAATTTGAAAATAAATGTGGTTGAGAATTGGTTATTTTAAATAATGTTATCGCTGCATGCAGTTGTGCATTTTGATCAAATAATATCATTTATATTGATTTATCAAAGTTCTCTTTTATGACTACACATCCTTTATCATTGTCTTCTGATGGTACATGTACATGTTACAGTCCAATGAACTTCTTTCATTATTGATATTGGAGACGGGAAGAAACTTCTCCAGGGCAGACCAGTTCCCCATTTAAAATTGTGTCACCAAAAGAATAAGATAAACATTTTAATAATTTTAGCTGTGAGCATTAGTTTTTAAAACATTTAAGTATATATTGTTGATGTTGACTCCAGACCTGCTCCGACCTACGAGACGGCGACCACCCGGCGTTACTATCACGGCAGGACGGAGACGGTGAGGTCATGTACCATGGAGGCCCTGACGTGGTGCAAGGCCATGATGGACCCGCAGCGCAGTGTAAGCTAAATTGGCTCTCCTTACACCTTGTGCTATACCTGTGTCTGTTTTGCACAATTTTTAAAGATTGACATATTTTAAAACAGCCCAGCTATTAATTATGTCTTGTAAATGCACTCCCTCTCCCCCCCCCCTTCCCTGCCCCCATGTTAGGACTAGTCAATGTTTGTTTGTTTGTTTGTTTGTTTTTGTTTGTTTGTTGTTTTTTTTTAATAAGTTTACCAAAAGAACTTTATTTTCATTAGGCAGTCATAAATTAATAATATTGTAGCCATGTTTAATTTATATAATACTAAAAAATCCCCTTTTGATCATAAAGCTCATTAATACGACACTCAAGTTATATGATAATGATGATAATATGATTGTTGTGAAGTGAATATTTTTGTTTTTATTGATAGACTGGTATTTTCAGGTATTAGACAGACTGAAGTTGTACAGGATTGCCTCTCAGAAACATGCCAAAATGATGGTGGAGTGCCAAAATAACAGTGGTAATTAGCAGCTGAAATTCCTTCTAGTCTCGTAATATGTCATTCTTTGCACTGGTAAATTGTATGTAATTTGTCAGTTATTTGTTGACATATATTGTATACAGTTTTTGTGTAGTTTATTATTGTAATATATTATTTTTTGTATCTAGTTTATTGTATAGTGTTATTGTATATACTCCATTGCGTAGTAGTAATTGTATATAATATACCCCGGTATTGTATATAATTTATTGACTGTGTACTGTAGTATTAATCATATATAATATATTGTGTAGAATCTATTGTGTATAATTTTATTGTATATAATGTATAATGTATATTGTCCCTTCAGGTTGTGACCGTCACCTGCTGGGTCTGTACCTGACCAGTTTGGAGGCTGGGATGTCAGTGCCCATTATCTTCACTGACCCCGCCTGGACCAAGAGGTAATAACCCTTAGCATAATTTTAAACTAACTATTATACTGCACACAGACTTAAAGCTGTGGATATATAAATATTTTTGTGTAGTTTTTAAACTACAATTAATTGTATATTATATATTGTGTGTAATTGTATTGTATATAATTTTGTTGCCTGTGCCCACTCTCTCCACTTACACTGCCTGTACCAAAAGGTAATGGCTACCATAATTACTGGGGGAAAATTGTGAAATTTACAGGTACTGTGTTTTTTAGGTAAAAAAAATTTTGAAATGTGTACATTCCTATTGGGTGGTGGCAACAAAATTAAAAAGCAGGTTACTCTTTTGTTCTGTTCTTTGCAGTAAAAACACCACAAATGCTATGTAAAGTTTTGTTATGAACAGATTATCATGAAACAGGATTAAGTTCAGTGTGGACTGTTAATAGAGAGTTTTGGCAAGGCCTTCTGTACGACGTATAACGTGCGACGTCATCACTTTGTGTGTAGTTTTTCTCAAGGACAAGTCATAAGTCATACGGCACTACGTATGAATCGGTGATTACACGTAGGTAAGAAACGTATCGAATTTAATAGATTTACGCTTATTTCTTTCAAGTTTAACACACTGCAGAGGAATATATAGGGTATTAAGATTCCACTGAATCACTTTTAGAAGCTGTCGGTAGAAATACTCTGTGAAAACAGCTGGAAATACAGCCAGTCAATCGGTCGTCCGTAGTAGTATCAAATTCAATTTAAGTTGATTTTTTTTTCATAAACAACAGGATCTGCGGCATCAATTGACGTAAATAACACATTCCATTCAACATCTTAATTATTCATCTATCTAAAAAGAATCCAAATATTATAATATTTATTTATAATATAAATAAAAATAATATTAAAAAAAACCGCATACGGAGTGAGACCTGCCAAAACCACTGCTAGCTTTCTCGCGTACGTAAAACGTATTACGTATTGAACTATACGTTACACGTCATACGGAAGGCCTTGCCAAAACTCTCTAATATTAAAAAAAGAACTTAGAGACTGTTATTCAAATATAACATTCACTCTTGCCTCTTTCTGTTTCAATTCAATAAAGCGTCGTTCGATTTCAGATAAATAAAATAGCACAATCAAAATTTTGATCTTTCATTCAATGATCTGAATGGAAATGCGAGATGTAACGCCTTTCACATGTAGAAGTATGATACCCCATTATTTATCAGGGAGAGGTAATTAAAATATAAATAGGGTCTGATCAAAGGCTTTCTATTATAATATGGACCTTGCCTTGTTGATTTCAGTGGTGGGGGTGGCAACTATATCCTGTCCACCAGCTTTGTTGGCTATACCACAGTGCACGGCGGTGTGGCCCCCATGTGTAAGGATGGCTATGGAGTGTTCTATAGGTTTGGACCAGACTGGTGAGTAGTGTGTGTGTGTGTGTGTGTGTGTGTGTGTGCATAAGAATAGCTATGGAGTGTTCTAGACTATAGGTTTGGACCAGACATGTTAGTGTGCGTGTGTGTGTGTGTGTGTGTGTGTGTGTGTGTGCATAAGAATAGCTATGGAGTGTTCTTGACTATAGGTTTGGCCCAGACATGTTAGTGTGTGTGTGTGTGTGTAACAATAGCTATGGAGTGTTCTAGACTATAGGTTTGGACCAGACATGTTAGTGTGTGTGTGTGTGTGTGTGTGTGTGTGTAACAATAGCTATGGAGTGTTCTAGACTATATAGGTTTGGACCAGACATGTTAGTGTGTGTGTGTGTGTGTGTTTGTGCATAAGGATAGCTATGGAGTGTTCTAGACTATAGGTTTGCACCAGACATGTTAGTGTGTGTGTGAGTGTGTGTGTTTGTGTGTGTAAGAATAGCTATGGAGTGTTGTACACTGTAGGTTTATGTGAGTTCACGATCATGACTGCATGTGCCTATTTTTATATGTGAAAGAGGATTTGTGTGCAATGTATTTGCATGATTGTGTGGGTGTTTCTATCAATGTATGATAGAATTCATGTGTTTATGTGTGTGTGTGTGTGTGTGTGTGTGTGTGTATGTGTATGTGCGCATGGATGTGTGCCTGAATGCTTGTATGCCAATTTCTGTCTTTGAAAAAGAAGTTGTGTGTGTATGTGCAAGTACGTACCGGGTATGTGTGAGAGAGCTAGTGTTACGGTTTGATCAATGTTCTGAACAGATTGAGTACAGTAATTTCAAAATAATTTTGGATCACCAGTGCCTGAGATCTATGTTAACGATACAGATAAGTCATGACAATTTATGTGTTACCTCATTTCTACAACCGTTTATTTTGTTTTTCCAGTATCGTGTTCTTCATGTCCAGTTGGATCAGTGATGAGTCGACCAGCGCCAGAGAATTGTACGAGAACTTGAGACAAAGTCTGCTAGATATGAAACACATGGTGGAGAGCCCAGAGGCGCAGGCAGCCAGACTTTGAACCCATTCAGAATGGTCCGAGGATCTTCTGATCCTTGGATCAAATATGGCAGACTCACGTGAAAGAAGAGACAAATAATCTGCTGACAGTCTCCTGAATGGCCTCTTTGAGTCCACACTTCAAGAGGGGCAGATGGAGGTGGTTTTCTGCGTCTTCCAGAAGACAGTCAGAATTTTTCAAGCTTACATTGACGGGCATGTATTTCTTGCTGTCGGGAGAGGGTCTAAAATGGAGTATAGATCAATAGAGATACTCGGAAGACTGTCAGAAAATATCTGGATCTTCCCCCTCTTCAGACATTTTACCAGAAAATTGTTACTACATTTTTATTCTGAGTGATTTTCATTGAAGTGCAATTCTGTTTGGGGGTACTTAATTGTTATTTTTAAAAAAGTGAAATGTTCTCATTGTCCTAATGTACATAAAATTTGAATTCTTGTTAATAATTATGAAAAAAATGATAATGAGGTTTCATGAACAGTTCCAATGCATAAAGACCTAAAATAATATGTGACTCAGTATAAATCCTTGAAATTTCAACAACTCCTTTTAGCTATTTTTTTTCAAGATTTGTCATATTACCAGGAAATATCTCATCAAAATGTACTTTCTAGATTGAAGCTAATGCCTTTTTCAGAATGTTCAGAAACAACATGTTAAGCGTTATGTATCACCAACTAATAATTATTTTTGAAAATTATATGACAGTCATTGTGTAAATTTTGCTTAAATCTAATAAGGAATGATTAGTACTATAAGGTCTTGTATGGGCTTTTATTTGAGTGTATAAATTAAGTTCAAGGTATGCAAAGGTAAATGCTAAAAGACCCTTGGGAATATCCTGACAATAATGTAGACTGTGATTTGATTGTCTTTCAACCTAAAAGGCTGTAGCACTATCTCAGAAATTTCAGTATTAATTTATAATATTTTTGTACCAGTTTTAATGATAGGTCATTCATGATGCTTAATACTTAGATTTTAATTGAGGTAAGTAGGTTACCTACTTGCTCATGTATCATTGGGTAGCACTGAAAATGCCTTTACTTGGAAAACCTACTTAAATGTTCTAAACTTTTTACCATTTCAGTAGGTTCAGAAAGAAGTCAGAGCTCAGGATAATCTTATATATATATATATATATATATATATATATATATATATATATATATATACTCCTGTAATAAACCAAAACTACTGTCATTTCACAGACTTCAGTGTGTACATTCTGAATTTATTTTAAACGTATCTCTGTCGGGTTATGATATTAATGTAAAATTGTGTTAGAGTGTTCATTTGTAGTTCTTACATTCAACAAAAGTATATGACAGTTATTACAATGCAGTAGTGGAGTTAGGGAGGTGTCAGGGAGGTCCTGACCCCCCCCCCCCTTTGGTTTCTGAAAAAATCATACCATTGGTCCCCTCGTGAAATTAGAATTTTGACAAGCTGAATCATAGTTCTTAACCGTACCAAATGGCACCGTCGCCCTCTAAAATACCAAGAATTTCCAGTTGAATTGATATGAGATTTAGGGCGTATTCCCAGAGCTTTTAGATCAATCTATCCCCGCGGGGAGTCTCACTAGATTACTTAAATGTCCGTCCCGCCTACTACAAACTGTAAGGGGGTAATTAACTTTCGTGCCCGCTCGGCTGACAGCTATTTAGCGTGAACCCCCAGGGAGTTAGGTCGATCTAGAGTAGATCGATCTAATCTCTGGGAATGGGGTCTTAATTACTGTACTCCCGCAGGGATGACACGTGGGGAGGCGTGAAAGAGGCCATTACAGGATTAAGCGGTCTTCCTTTCATGTATGTCCGCCATATTTAGGCCGTGGACCAGCTAGCACTCGGCTCTTCTCATTATGAATGGTCCCTAATAGACTAACTGGTGCGTGAGCTTTCAGAAAACAGTTTATATTACTAATGGCCAATATTCAAAATTATGTAACCATTGTGCATTTGTACATCTCTCCTGATTTACAACTTGGCTTTACATGATGCTGCTTCAGAAATAACTGACAAGTAGACAAGGCGGGATGAATGATTGCCAGCAAAATTTCTCTGCACTGAAATTTGAATTGTTTTTTTAATAATAATAATAATATTTTATTGGAATATTACAACCCGAAGGTTGAAGTTTTACATAATATATATACTTTATTTATTTATTTATTTATTTATTTATTTATTTATTTATTTAAATGAAATGAATGTATGTGAAAGAAGCCTGGTCATTTTTGCCCAATTACACTCTATAGGCGTTCTCACCTCCCTGGGGAGGATATCTGATTACTATATTAGCCGATATACCACCTCATAAAATGTTTCACTGAATGGACAGTTCAATTAAGATTACTTTCGAGTTACGGAGCCCAGGTTCTTCATGTAGCAGGATGCAGGATTCCTACAACACTTCCCAGCAAGATAGCACTT